GGAGGTGAGCGACGCCGGTGAAGTTTACCCTGTGAAAGACAAAACCCCGTAGTGCCTGGGGACTGCAACAGCTGAGGCAGAAAGGGGCACTGTATTGAACCAGGGCCAGTCTGCATAGCATGCATGAGAGCCAGGTCCAAACTGCTTAGGCTGTTCGGATGTGCAGTGTTAACATCCTATTCACGCTCTGCTTTGGTTACTGATTGCATCTATTTTTACTCTGCCACCAGCAGACTTCCTTCGTTTTTTCTTCTGAAATAAACTGTGCCAATTTCCCATCCTCCTCTTCCTCCCCCGGGTCCCCACGCCAGTCGCTGCCCTGCCACGGAGAGCAGGTTCCTGGCCCAGACAGGCCATATCCCTGACGAGAGCCACCGCAGGGCCCACTCCTACGTTTTGCTTGCAATAAAGTAAAACCTATTAGGTGATCCCATTCTAACTCCTTGACCATAATTACTTAAAAAGCCCGAGATAACTACGTTGAGAGCAAGCGGAGTAAAATTTCCAGGAGTAGCAGATACACAGATCAGTAAACCTCCCAAAGACCACGAGGAAAGAAAAGCTTTATACAATGAGAGTGTATCCCCTAAAGCTTCCTCCGCTGGAGTCCTTTACCGCCAGCAGTTTGACGCACTTGTTTCGTTTAAAAATACAGAGAATTTTAGAAAATAGTTGGTGACCTTGCAGTTTCTCTAAAACAGTTTATAGCCTCAGTCTGCCAAAGGGCAGGGGTTTGTGCAAGGGGTTGAAAATAAAAATATTTGGATGTGCTCAGTCTGACCTGCAATTCTTTTCACATGCAAAGGGAGAGGCCCCGGGGAGAGGAAGGCCAGAAGAAACGCAAGGTGTGTGCCCAGGGCTGGAGAGATGTGGGTCAAATCCCTGTTCTGCCTTCTCATCTCCCCAGTGCTGTGACTGATACAGAAGCATTTATCTTTCTCATAATGATATTCTGAGGATAAATACACTAAAAAATGGAAGTGTCCAGCTGCTGCCTTGTATTATTAAGATAGCTCCTTCTCATATGTGTCTAGATGTCATCTTTAAATGTTGCACGAGTCAATAAAAACCACCATGAAAGCTGTGTTTCTGCAAGATCCAGTCTGGCTGATGTATCGCTCTGAGCAACATTGCTGTGGTTCTCTGATGGCCTCAGAAGAGCCCTTATATAGAAAAATATTTGCTTCGAAGCAAGTGCAGGGATTACTCCCAAAGAATTACCCCTCAGATATTGAGGCCAGTGCTTCCAGAGCTAAGACCTTGGGAAAACAGCGAGTGGAGACCATCCATGCCATGTAGGGATATTTGCATAAGCTTTGGCAGTAGCTACAGCCATCTGAACCACCGATAAGCCAGAACAAAACATTTTGCCTCTGTGACCACCCACATCCTGACCTCCTTGCATCTCCGCTGCCTTCCCAATGTTTTACTGCAGCTATGCCTCGCAGAAAACTATTTTCTGCAGCAGAGAATAAGGTTACAGAATTCCCTATGGATGGATGCTCAGATATCAATTGGTGTTGCTTCACGAAGCTACCTCAGCCTTCAGCATATTTTCTTAAAATTGCGGAGGATAATGCATTTAGTGCCATCTTTCACCTCTGATTCTTATCACCGCCCAACTGGGCGCAATACCTTAGAGCTGCTTAAAAGAGGCTTAAAGCAGCAACATACATACATTTCTTTTCACATATCCCAGATGTGCGGCGAAAAGTCATTTTTGTGAAGATCAGAGCTGGGATTGGTATCTTCATGTTTTGAGCCAAAAGGATATAAATTTGGCACTATGTTGACCCACCATGCTGATTGTCCCAAAAGTGGAGGGAGTTGGTGCCAGCACAGAAGTCACTGCAAGAACATGGAAAGGTCAAACTGACCCTGGCAGCTTGTAAATCTGGAAAGCCTTTCTGCGTTTAACCTTAGAAAAATCATGAAGTCTCCTTCTTTTTAAAATGGAATAATTTGTCCTCCTTTAGCCTGAAACGTGTTCCTCTCGGAAACATACTGGGTGGGATGAACACTGCATGAACGGGCACTGGGGGTCCCCCCAAACTGTGGGACACCCCTGGGTGCACAGGACTACGAGCACGGGAGCTGTGAGAAGGCACGGCCCTGCTATGGCCTCAGGAATAGGTTTCGTTTTGGAAATCTTTTGGTTCAGACTTAAAGGGAAACCAACAACAAGGTTCCCGCTTCTCAAGTGGGAAGACAGGTTTAGTAGTAACTGTCTTTTAGGTAGGTTTGGTAGTAATAGTTGTTTAGGAAGCCTGGGAAGCTCGGTAACTGGATGCTACCCATCTTCAAAGACTTGAAGAAATGATTGATCTGCAGGAAAGAAAATCAGACATGAGGAAAAAAATGCTTACGGTTGGGATTGTGATGGTGAAGCTGTGGAACATGTGGGATCGGTTATCAAATCCCCTTTGCTGGAAGTTTCTAAAAACAGAGGAAGGAGTTGGTGGGTGTAAAGGGAACTGATGGGACTTGCGTGTGGGCACAATGCCTGAGGAGCCTCCCAGCCGCACATCTGTATGGTACCGTAGCTGAAAGGCGATGCTGGCAGTGGTGCAGCAGAGAGGTAAGGGATTTGGAGAAGCGAGACGAGACAGAGCAGGGTGGCTGCAGGCCGGGTCCATGCCCTGCGCTGTCCCTCCCTGGTGTGACCGGTTTGGCTGTGGCAGAGGAATCTCAGCTATGGGACACGTAGCCCCAGGGCACCTGTCTGTCCCTCGTCCTGCAGCTCACCTCCCAAAGCACAGGCGCTTACCGCTCCTGTTGATTTCTCTTTTTCTGTCTTAGAGGTGGAGGTTTTTACTACTCTTGATCAAAGTTTCCTTCTCCGGGTCACTGATCTGAAGAATCATCATAAAACACCCAAAGTTTGGTATTAGCACGGGAGTAACTCACAGACTAAACGGAAGTTTGGTGAACTGACCTTCTCATGCAACAGCGGACTGTCATTTTGTGATCTGCATTTAGATTTTTTCCACATAAAACTATCCCTACACATCCCATTTCAAGAATTGCAATAAACATTTTGAAACACCCTATAAATATATTCGGTTCTTGTCTCGTAAATGTCTCTGAACTCCACCCTTTGCAACGAGACTGGTTTCCCTAGTAACTAATATATTGCAAAGTGTTTTTAAAAAAGAGGGAATCTAAAAAGATGAAAACAAGCAAAAAAAAAAAATGCCACGAATGATAAGACTGAACGTGTTTGATGAACGCAAGATACACCACAGTCTGAGGTACTGTGACGTTTTTATTGCCACTTTTTTTGTAATACTGTCCTCCTAGACTCATCCCAATAAAAGATTTATTTTGCCTCGGACAGCCGGGCCACAGCTTGCTCCACAGGCAGGACCGGGCATGGTCAGGACCACGCGCTGGGCAGCCCACGGAGCCGAGGTTCTCTACCTTCATGGTGGTTAAAGGAACCAGCCGTGAAACGTGGGACATCACATCCCTCAGCTCTTCCTTGCAGAGGTGGCAGCGGGGACGTGCGTCAGTGCCTCCCTCCGCGGGTGAGGGTCGGTGACCCCTGAAACCCAAGCCCAGAGAGCAGCAGAGACCAGTCATGCAGGAAAGACTTGCGGATGTGAATTATGGTAAAGATAAAGGAATCTTTGCCAAAGGTCTCTGAGCTGGCCACTAAATTCAGGCAAGAAAACTCATATTTGGCACCCTACTCGTTTAAACAAATGTAGGGAACCGATAGCTCCCCCTGAAATATTGCTTATGGTAGTGGTCAGAAAAGGGAGTGATGTATGGAAAGGATGCTGAAGGATTTGTTAGAGTCTGCAATGAAAGAAATGAAAAGTGGGTGGAGAAAGCAGCAAGGCACCTTGACTATATACATGTATGAAACTGGGTTCAGCCGTGCAGAGAAGGATTTGGGGATACTGGTGGATGAGAAATTGGACATAAGCCAGCAGTGTGTGCTTGCAGCCCGTGAAAGTCCATTGGATCCTGGGCTGCGTCCCAAGCAGCGTGACCAGCAGGTCAAGGGAGGGGATTCTGCCCCTCTACTCCGCTCTGGTGAGACCCCCCCTGCAGTACTGCCTTCAGCTCTGGGGTCCTCAGCACAAGAAGGACATGGACCTGTTGGAGCAAGTCCAGAGGAGGCCACGGAGATGATCCGAGGGCTGGAGCACCTCTGCTGTGAGGACAGGCTGAGAGTTGGGGTTGTTCAGCCTGGAGAAGAGAAGGCTCCGGG